GTTAAAATAGAAACTTATATTTTCAGTAGTTGGAACTCATTACAGTTAGTTCATTGAAAAAAATCACGTAGCTTCTTCGTAACATAGAGTAAATATCTATCGATAATTAAAAAATAAATGGTTATACTAAATAGTTATGAAAACGTTTTTCGTTTGTTATTCTTCAGTTTCTAAATCACATGTACTTACATCATACATAATAATATAATAATGCTATTATTAATATTAAACCGTTATTACTATTATTATAGTATTATTACTATTTTTATTATTAAACATTGACAAAACTGTGCTTTAATAACAATTTCAATTTGAAATGTTCCAGCTTATTCGATATATTCCTTGTTATAAGAAAGGAATAAATAAACAAATATCTTAAGAATTGAAACGTTTTATTAATTTTTTTTATTGTACGTGTTTAACTGAACTTCAAAAATAAAAGTTAACGATAATTTTCAATATTAATTCCAGGGTGGATTAATTCGGCTATAAATCCATTCATCTATGCCTTTTACTCGGCCGACTTCAGATTAGCATTCTGGCGACTCACGTGTCGAAAGTGCTTCAAAAGCAGAACCAACTTGGAACGCAGTAATCGAAAACTGCCGGTTCCTACGAATGGGAAGAAAGAAACCTCGAGGACGTGAAGACCAACAAGCGAAAATCCTTCGACCACTGTGATTGAGTTCGAGGCTACTGTGATTTATCTATGATCTAGCGCATACAAACGGTTTTTGGCATTCGAGCATTGCGACTGTTCCTCAGCCCTTAACACGACACATTATTTTAATGACTGCAGACGTTATACGTAGAACAAGAGAAATATTCTTTGACAGAATATCTGGTTTGTTTTTGTTTCATAGTAATAACCTTTCAAACTTTATGAAAGATTTTTATCTCTGATCATTACATGCATTCATAAGATATTGTAATTTCATAAGTTAATTGAACAGAAATGAAGTCATACTAACAATAAATTTTGCTACATTTTGTGCACAAATATTGTTTAATTAGGTATTCTTTCAACTTAAAATTTTATGATTATTTTTACTTCAAAATAAACGATAAAAGAGAAGGCTAGATGAGAAATGCGTATCAAATATTTCTGGAGAGTTTTCTACGATTTTCCTTAGTTAGAATATTTTAAAACACATTTTTAAAATGCATTTTCGTAACCAATTAAAAAGCCTGAGGTAATGACTTCTTTAAGTGTTGCTTAACCAGCTGCATTTAATTTTTCATTTTTAACGTTATTGTGATCTCTAGGAATATTTAAATTTAATATGAAGAATATCCTTTGTATATATTTATTATCACAGCGTATTCGAGTCTCGATTTCTTTAATGTCTAAAAAATTCTACAAGAAGTTAAGGAAATACTTGCTCCATTTAATATGAGTCTTACAGAACCACGTTTTTTAAGTTATGTTGAATCTTGGATTATACAACGATTGCTATGCAGGCTGTGGCAGTAATAATAGTATAACTAGATATGAGATGATAATTAATCCCACTAGATGTGGAATGATTAAATTCATTTATTTAATATTTTATTTCATATTTATTAGATAAACGTTTATAATTTATTTTAAAAATACAATGTAACTATCGCAAAAACTTATAATTCGAATATACTTTTCCTTCTGCTTACATTTTAATCCGATTGAGAGCTATCCACAGATGATAATGTTCTCAATGCACTAAGGTTTAATCTATAGCTATAGCTATACTACTAGAACATTTACCCTTTCGATTGTGCTCTGCTCCTGATACGATCAAGTATTCTTCAATTCTTTACGAGGAACGTATTCATTGTACGAGCAAAGGTTCCGGCCCAGGTCCCATTTAGTTCCAAGACCATTCCGAAAGAAAGAATATTTAACTTTTGGCTTATAAAATCGAGTGAAAGAAATTTGGATTAAATTCAACAAACGTGAAAATATATTATTCATTTCTTTTAAACAAAAATAAGATATTCTTTTTCTTGAACACTAGAACTACCGAGCGCTTAATACAATTCAATGTAATCCTTATAATAATTGTAACAATGGATTTCTTTTTCTTGCTTCATATATGTATTATAGTGTTCAAGTAAAATGATTTATTTTTAAGATCAATTTAAATATTCAGCATTTTTAAGATATGAATATTTGTGAAATGAGAATACTGAAACCTGTAATTTTGACGGGTGCAGTAGTTCTTAATGTTAATTAATATTAAATACCTAAAGTAAATAAAAGTCTACTATATAGACTCACTTTTTAATAATTTACTATGTATAATATAATTTTGGTAAACATGACTGAAGAGGAAATCATAAAAATCGTCTATTCTGATGATATAAACAATGTTTTATTATCAGTTTCGGCAAACATCACTCTTTTACCGTAATAACAACAAAATATATAGCAAGTTTAATATTTTATTTTCAATATAGAAAACAAAAGAATTTAGAATTTTGAAAAAAAATTGGACCATCATCGATTTGGTACTGTGAGGAAATGAATATTTTATCAGACCGAGAGCTGGACATGATTGGACCGTGAATGGCCTGGTAGTGTGGATGAAGCCTAACTGACCATGTGGTCCACGGAATTCGGGTTACACGCGTAACATTTTCTGGCAATCGTACGTTTAATTAAATAATCTTTGCGGTCCGAGGGTATCTCGATTTTTTAAAAAATTATTAAAAATAATAAAAGAATCTTCCGAGATTTTTATCAACATTGGTAAATTCAGTTACTTATGGTTTAATGTGTTGCCTTTATTATTTATTTGAAAATATCTGAGAAATATTACAATTGTACTTAAATATAAAATAATTATAATTATATACATATTATATGTACATTCAATATATTATAAAGAATCATAAAATTGAATGTTAGAACCGTCTCGATAAAGGACCGCAAAGGTTCGATAAATCTCCATTTATACTGATAGAGATATTAAGAAATGAAACCAGTACAAGTAGTATAATTTAAGATTAAAAACAATATCTGCTGAAACGAAACACAAATTGGTGGATAATGTATACGAAGTACCAGTACGATTACGATAACGGTAACCGATTAGTGAAGAGCAAAATAATACGCACAATGGCAATGGGAGAGTTTTAAACTGTTTTTATGCGCTGGGCCTCCTGCAATTTGTATTGCATTAACTTTTTTCACTCGAAGTATTCTTCGCAGGCACTGCCAAAGTTTTGGCGTTGTACTCGAAGTGTGCTTCTCATACACTCCAACAATATGCTGCACTGAAGGTCAAACTGTTTGAATTTACAGTTAAACTTTAGTCGCACGTGATTTCACGTTCCATTGATTTCGGTATTTAGTCGTTGATTTGACCGATAAAATTAAAAGGTTTACTGTTCACCATGGTGAAGAAGTTCGAGTGCAAAAGGTTAATTGCGAAATGAACATCGTGAAGCATACGAACGACACATCAGTACCATTTACTCAATGTATTTACACACATTATTCCAAACTGAAGACAAGTAAACGAATAATTGATACATTAGACGATGCGAGTAAGTGTAATATTTGGTATACTTCAGTTTCGAATGTATTGTTTCTCTATGACCTATACTGTAAAAAGGAAACTCATAACTGGAAAATGACATGTCAACTGTTGTCACTGAATAATAAAGTCTTGATATAAAATTCTGGTGCACTAATCGTTACGGAGTCACAATTACATTCACTCATTGGATGGAAGAGAATAATAAACAAACAAGAAAATAATTTATTTATCCATGTATTTAACTATGTATTTATTTATTCATTAATTCATTTATTTGTTTGTTTATATATTTATTTGTTTATTTATTAATTCATTCATGCATGTACTTGTTTATTTATTTAAATAGTTCGGATTCGTGAAATATTTTGTACTCGACGAAATGCAAGTGTATAAATAAAATCTCACGTTTACATTGTAGAGTTTATTGTTAGTTATTAAATAACATTAAATTATGGAAATAGTTTTCTTTCATTATTAAAGTACATTTCCTAAATTTATTAACGCGTAGATCTCTCTGTAAATGTAGAAAGTATGAAAGTATACGAATTTTATAACGTTCTGGAGCTGATATTTCATTTCTGGAGTCCCACGGACCTTATCTGTTCCATTTTTTTTTCATTATGATGCGCTCATTACGCGATGTCTGTGTTGTAGGTACATACGTACCCTTGCGGATTAACGAAATGAGGAATTATGCAGTTATGCTGTTACGAATGTGACTTCCTGCTACCCTACAAAAAGAGAAATTTGGTTTGGTTACTGTTCAGTTAAATAAAGAATGTAACGTAAGTTGCTGAACAGATTTTTACGGAAAACCATTGTAAAATTCTTATGAAAATGTAACCATTACGAGACAACCGCCGTAGAATACTTGTGATAAAATATTGATTATACAAAATAACATAAATCATTTTTAAAATAAATACAAATTGATACAGTATGCTATTTATTTAATATGTTCAGTTGTATGTCAACGTGTAAAGCGAAAAAGTAGAGTAATCTGGTTTGTTTTTACAAATAAATTTTTTGAGGAAGTTCAGCTAATAAATTAATAGAATTTACTTCTGCGAAAAATACAAAAATACTATAGAATTATATTTTTAATCCAGTTGGGGTAGTAAGTGTTAGATTACAGCCGTAAATGTTAAAAATTTTGGACGCTAAATTAAAATTGCCGAAATAATATTGAGCAGTTGATTAAAAATAATAAAGTCACTGATTATTACGTATTCATCATAATTTACGGTAAGTGCTGGTACGATTATTTATAATTATCTTTATTTATTAGATTACATTATTATGATTCTATTGATATTCTAATCAAAGTATAATGGAATTTGAATGAAGGTAGAAAATAAAATCAAATGATATTCGGAAATGTGCACGATTATTTATAATTTGTAGAATGTTTACAAAATTTCTGCTTTTACAATTAACGAAATTGTTCAAAACAATCGTTACATAAAATAAATTATTTTAAATTATTAGATTCAGTGTTACTACTGGTTCAACAAATTTTAATTTCATTGCTATTAGTTCGGTACAATCCTTCATAGAGAATCGTCTATCAAAGATAACACCGTTTACTCGAGTATTGCCACATGGAGGATAATGCAAGTGAAGACCCAGAGAAATAGATAGAACACAATTCCACAGATGCAATCGCAGATACAATTAAATTTAACTCCCTTCCTTAATCTATTGATCTTGTTATTAATGATCTTAGAACTAACACACTTAATATCAAATTCCTCGATGGATCGTTGCTGTTTTCTCACTTGAGGTTAAATTTAACTTAAAATGAACTTAGCAGTAATGTAAATTGTACGATGGACTTATTCTTAAACAAAGAAGATAAATGGAATATTAAGAAAAGAACGAAATAAAGAGAAGAATCAAGAAAGATGTGTTTCATTCAGAAGAGAGGTAAATTGAAGAAGTGTCTGATTTATATGAATAATCATAATAATTTCCTGGTATACGTATTTATTTATAACACGTATATTACAATTAATTAAAAACGAGTTTAACTAACAAAGGAATGTTTTTGATAAAACGTAATGCATGGTTTTGAAGAAATTGAAAATACTAAAAGAGTGGAAATACTCTTTCAGATACAGTGTTGAAAACACTTTGTAGAATATTTCTGAAATTAGAGTGTGTAGGAAAAACATTTCTTTTTATTTATTCGCATAAAAATTACGAATTTAACCGTATACGAAATATATTTTAGAAACCATTCGTTTAAATAATACATTAAAAATTGCAATTTTATATGAACTTTTTATTAATTTTTCTTGTTAAATATTTGTTTACCATATTGTGAAGTTGTATGTAAAAACTATGAATCAAAATAAAGAATACGTTTTATTGAAATTTTTCGTGTTTTGCTATTTACTCAGAATTATTAACTATTATTAGAAGGAAGTTTCATCATTCTATTAGTATTCGTAGGCTTCCCACTTTTTTCTCAATTATAGTGCGACTTGCATTGCAATTACAGCCAATGAATTACCAATCTAAGGAGCAGATTCTTTGCATAATTGATTTTTCTGGCTATACGTAATACCGATTATAGGTAAAGTAGCAAGTATTGTTGGCTACATAAGAAAAGAAAGCGCTTCAACAATTTTGTTACTAGCACCGACGAAAAACAGTATCTTATGAGACTTCGTGTCCAGTAGTCTGAAATACCGATTGTGTAAAAAGAGCAAATGTTTTGATATGCCCTCTACAATTAAAACTTTTAATTATACCAGAGAAATAAAATCTAGAATTTCATTTTCTATCATAGAAATAAGATCGAAAACAGGAATGAAAGATTGATGGAATTCGACATTCATTATAATATTACCATCTCCGTGTTACTTGCATTTTTACCAACAGAGAAGTGAAATCTGTATGAATACTTGTTGTACTACAAATAAATAATTGAATTTGCGTCTTACCTTGTGATATAAAAAAGTTGGATTATACCAGACCGATTCAAAAAATCTGTTTCTGCAAGTGATGCAAGACCACAGAAAAAGTTTGAATAACAAACATTCAAGAGTTTAATTGAGACACTTGAACCTGTTTGCCACCATCTTTAGTTCTTTCACCAACCGAACACCATTTATTTCTATTCATAAAAACTATTACTAAACTGATATTGAGGCAACTTTCTCCATAAAACTAAATAATGCTTTATAAAACCGAATAAAAAAGATTAAAACGCAAATATTTGAACAATGATGGGAATTGAAATAATAGTAAATCTATATGAAACTTGCATGAACTTATTTCAATACATAATGTCTCCATTTTTGTATAAGATAAAATCACCAGTAATTGATCTGGTATCAGTAATTGACCATTTTTCAGGAAAATGTAAAAAATATGGTTTTTAAAAGTAATAATCTTTCGATAAAGGCACGATAGAAATGCTGCAGCATTTACCGACCCAACTCCGAAACATTTTTACCCGCCTTGAATTGTTTATCGTAAACAATTGCAATTTTTGCAATTTTTAATTGCAATTTGTCATAATCGTTGTAAATATACAATATTAAAGTAATCACCTTTAGTGTTTTTAGTTTTACTACAAGTGGTCACCCGCTAACTAACATATGGTCTGTTGAGCCGTCACGGCTTGATAGAGGCGACACATGCAGAGACTTAAGCTCTTTATAGCACGGGGCAAAAAACGGCTCTTATTGTTTAATATTTTAACGGCACATCGCGGCAATACTCATTGGCCTTTTGAAATTAAATTCCAAAACTTTCCTTTCACCCGCATGTGGCAGCCAGCGACGGGTTGTAAATGCATATTTCTGAAGGGCGACCAAATGGTATCCTAAGGACACTCGGTACCTGGGGTTTGCCTGGAAAAAATTTGTATCCAAGCTAAAAACATAGTCTCTGCATGTCTTAGGTAGCACCCCACCCTCGTTAGACTAGGCGCGCCAAGGGCGCAGCGACGGTGGAGACAATTCGTTTCGAAAGCCCCTGATTGGGACTTGTCAATTTTGGCGATAACCAATCAGAGTGTTTTCTTAAATTTCGGAGCTGACGATCTGACTCGCAGATCGCCAGCGAAACAGACAACTCAAAACGATCGCACGAAACACATCAAACAAGCGCGTCTTAGTGTTCAGACATATTTGTACACACGAAAAATACAGTCCACTAACGAAGAAGCAAGCGGTCTCATTTAATCAGCTCCAAGTAAGGACGCTGCTGTGAACGCCCAACATGGTCAATTACCAGTTCTTTCGTTTTATAGGGTAGCCAACTTCTGGCACAAGTATTGAATTTTCTAAAACGTCTATAAACTTTGGATAATATGACTACTTCAAAAAACTTCAGTTTGTTACATAATGTAAGAAGTTCAAATAGCATGTTCACGCATAGTCTCTCTATTTAATAAAGGAGCAGGTGTTTACTATTATGCACACAGAAAATTTTTCTTAACTGGTCAACTATTGGTGCCTTTACCTTATAAACTACTGCATAATAAAATATTATGATTCCAATATGATTAGATCACGATCGGTCATGATCTAGAATTTTTCTAACGCCTTGTTTATTTCTGCTATAAACATACCCTTATGTAGAATGTTCGGTGTAATTAAACTGCATTTTTTTTCATGTCTGTATTTGTACAATATCCGTTTATACATTTCTCTTTTTAAGGGAATAGGCCAGCGGGATTACGAATAGGGTACACAAATCCACAAAGTTCCTCGAGACGAGGAAACGGGCGAAAAATTCGAAAAACTCGCAAGACGCGTTTATCTTGCGCCCATACACACTACAAGTCGTTAGATCTCATCGTTACGATAATAAATTATGAGCGACTTAACAATCTCTCGTTGAAACACACTTTACACGACATCACACACGGCTCCCGTGTAACTTATAATCGTCTGCATTTCGCTGTCACACCTGATCACAGTCGTTGAAGATTCGCCATTCGTTTCTTTCATTTTTCTTGTTTTTTTGTTCCTAGAACAGTGACTTCCAACCGTACACACATAATACCCGCCAACACGAAAATATTGGCTGTTCAGTTAGACTTTTCCCTTAGAATATTTCTGCTTACAAATATAATACGTGTTTTCATCTTGCAATCACTTTCATTGCCATTCGAGACTGACCATCCTCTAAGAAGATTGAATTGTTGCGCGTGAAGGGAGTAAATTGATTAAAATTGAGAAATTCACAGACGGGAATTCTCATACTTT